GGTCCCTCCCCAGGCCACGGAGCTGGACCAACGCTGGGGAGCACAGTCTGGGACCAGCAGCTGGCTTTCCATCGTCTTCTGAAGGCCTTTCCAATACCTGTTTCTCTTCCTACCCCCAAGGAGACAGCGGGACCCTCCCAGAGCCCTCAGCTCAGGAGGACTCTTAAGAAATCTACGCACCCCTAAGAGCCGGTCCTGTCGTTACAGCCACGAGTATCGGGGAAGCTGCAGTGTGACCACATCCTAACCCAGTCTCCCTAGCCCGGCACTGTGGGCATCGGGGGCTGCTGGGCCACTCTCTGATGTGGGGTACCCTGTGCACTGTGGGGTGTTGGGCAGCATCCCTGGTACCCAGTCACCAGCTGCCAGCAGCATCCTCCAGTCCAGCGTGACAGCCCAAGATGCCTCCAGACACTGCCAGGTGTGTCCCCAACGGGGGGCGGGGGGCAAAATCACCCCAGCTGAGAAGCATTGGTTGGACGTATTCAAAGAATCACAGGGCATTTAAGACAAACTTTAGAGATTACCCAGCCCCGTCTGTTAAATTTGAAGGGTGAGGGTGCAGAGAGGGTAGGTGACGTGCCCGAGGTCAGCTTCCTGCTGGCTAGAAATTCTGGACCTGCAAAGCCATGCTCCTCTGCTTCCGAGGGCTGCCCCTGGCTTCAGCATCATAGATGGCTGCTTCCCTTGCAGAGTTCTGGCCATCCAGAGAAATATGCAAACCGGCAGGTGCTGTGTCTGGATCTCAGACACAAGGGGGGTGAGCGGCAAGGTGACCGTGGATGCTGTGGGCAGCGGCCCCGGTGCCAGGTCCCTCCTGGGTGTGGCTTCACCCAGGAAACCGGCGGCTTTATTTATTTATTTTTGTAATTTTTTTTTTGTTTGTTTTAAAAAATTATAAATCAGCTCTCCTACAAGAGCTGGGGAGAAATATGTGTGAGGGGGTCAGATTACAAGCTAGACTTCTCTGCATGGACCTTTCATCAGCATTTGGTTTTCGAGTCATGCAAATGTGTTAGTCCTCCAAGAATTAACACATAAAAAGCGAAGGCAAGGCCTAAACACTGGAAGCAAACCAAAGACCACGAGCCGATCGGCGACGTCACCTCCGGCCGACAACCGTAGTTTCTGTGACCGTGGACGCACCAATTCGTGGATATTCTAAACAGAAGAACTGCAGACAAGCCACAGCACCGCCTGGCAGTTCTCTTGTTTGCAGTAACCTTGGTTTTGCTCCTTTGGAATGACGTCATGTACAGATCAGGACAGGCAAACAAGTACTATTGATGATCTTAGGAGCATGGCTCCGGGTGTAGGACACCACAAAAGGACGGCGTTAGAAACACTGAGTAACTGCCCGGTAACGTCGCTATGGATGGAAATGTAAATAATTCAGCGTGTTCAATCCATTTCCTAGCTCTCTCCACGGAAGGGGTCTAGAAACACTGCCCTCCCAGCAATGGCAACTCCGCCTCTGAAAATGATTCCCCACCAACAGAACCACAGTTTCTGGGGAAAATGGACGATTCTGGAGAGGGAGAAGGAATTCAAAAGCCTGAGACACGGTGATGTCCCGGAAGCAAGGAAACCTTCAGCGGTCGGCTGGGACTGTGACCTCATCACACACAGAGGCTGTGCCCACGCCCTCGTGGACCCTCAGCATGGTGACCTCACAGGACACTGTCCGCATCACACACAGCGGCTACCTCCATCTTTCATTGGGATACGCTGCAGAATGGTTATCAATGCCATTTTTTTGTCGGTTTTAATTACTGATGCGGAAGGAGAGCCATTTGGTTGGACGACTCCCCTTACCTGTGACATGAACTCAGTCCCCGGCACCCCAAGGAGAGTCTGCCAAACCTGCCCCGCGTTGACAGCACAGCGACGCCCAGCCCTACCACCTTGCAGGCTTGATAGGTTCTCACCAGCAGGTGTGAACACTTCTCATCCGTCCAGTCATGCAGGACCCTGGCCAGGATGCACAGATCCAGCTCCAGAAGGCAGTCTTTAAAGAAATCTCCTGTAACCCAGGGCGAGTGCCCTGGGGTCAGCTTGCATCTCAATCCCGTTGGACCACACCAACACCCAGCAGGGAAAGGCCACCTGTATGGACCGAGTTTTCCCCAGATCTTCCCAGCTGGTGACCTTTCAACCAGCCCCTGAACAAAAAGAAATCTCAGTGAAGACAGGACCATTCTGAATGATGTCTGGGGGCCCCTTTCCCTCCATCAGATCTGGACAATGGCTTTATTTTTATTTTATTTCCGAAGGTCCCGTGTAAACAGACAGCATCCTTTAAGCCATGGATTTCAGGAGGTCCCTGGCAATGGATCAGAAGCTCCATTCCGATGAGCCAAACTGGACCAACAAAGTCCATATGTGTTTCCCTGACTGAATAAAGATGCCCACGAGAGACTCTTACCTGTAGGTGATGGCCAACACTCAACTCTCCTACCATTTTTCCTGCAAGAAGTAACAATGTGGGAAGAGAGCTTGGATAGCCCTGAGCCGTACAGGGTTACCTCAGCTGACCTGTGTGGTCCAGACTGCAAGTTCACGGGAATTGGGGACGATGTCTTGGATGACATAGATGCTATCCCCTGGATCTCTTTCTTGTGCTGAGTATCCCAGGAAACATGGACCCCAGAATATTCCCCCATGAGACGGGGCACGGAGGAGGAGGTTCCTCCAAGTGGGTTTTCTTCCACTCAGCGAAGAAAGACAGGGGTTGTTCTTAGAAAACTACGGCCCAAGGGCCAAATTCGGTCAGGCGTCTGTTTGCCTACAGCCTGGAGAGAATGCAGAACCAGGAATGAAGGTCGACATGCCTGCACCTTCTACCAGCTGCCCTTGGGGACCAATCGCAGACACCCAACCTCAATGGGGTAGCAGCACGTAATACAGTATAGTTCACTTAATTCCCCCAACCTCCAAAGGCTGCATCCTCACCCCATTTTCCAAATGAGGCACCAAAGTAACGCTGATCGTGTATCTCCAAGTAGGAGGAAGACTCCCCAGGGGTGGGACGAGGGTTAAGATCAGGGTGAGGCACTGCCTCTGCGCACAAAATTTAAGGGGCCCCAAAACTTGGTCATTGAGATTCAATATATTTTAACACAGTGGCTTTAGAAATCAACATTAAGGACTTCCCTGGTGGCGCAGTGGTTAAGAATCCGCCTGCCAATGCAGGGGACACGGGTTCGAGCCCTGAGCCGGGAAGATCCCACATGCCAGGGAGCAACTAAGCCCATGCGCCGTAACTACTGAGCCTGCGCTCTAGAGCCCGCGAGCCACAACGACTGAGCCTGCAAGCCACAACTACTGAAGCCCACGCGCCTAGAGCCCGTGCTCCGTAACAAGAGAAGCCACCGCAATGAGAAGCCCGCGCACCGCAACGAAGAGTAGCCCCTGCTCGCCACAACTAGAGAAAGCCCGTGCGCAGCAACGAAGACCCAGCGCTGTCAAAAATAAATAAAAATTAAAAAGAATTTTTTTAAATCAGCATTAAGCCCCCCACAGCCCCCCAACAAATTCCTGATGGTCAAAATTTCAGAATTCTAAATATTTATTTTTATTTATTTATTCATTTAGGCTGCACCGGGCCTTAGTTGCAGCACGCAGGATCTTTAGTTGTGGCGCGCAGACTTCTTAGTTGCAGCATGCATGTGGGGTCTAGTTCCCCGACCAGGGGTCGCACCTGGGCCCCCTGCATTGGGAGTGTGGAGTCTTAGCCACTGGACCACCAGGGACGTCCCCAAATTTCAGAATTTTAAATAAAGATGGTATCCAGCCCTTCCAGGACACGATTCAGCACATTCTTGTCACCTTGAAATCAGCCTATCGGATCCAGAGTTGTTCAAAAGGAGATGATCCTTCGTCTGAATCAGTCAACATTTCGGGAGTGTCTACCCCACATCTGGCCCCAGATGCAATGCTGATGGCCTGTCCCATGAGATGCCATGAACTTGGCGGTGATTTTTTTTTTTAAAGATCTTTTGATGTAGACCATTTTATTGAATTTGTTACAATATTGATTCGGTTTTATGTTTTGGTTTTTTGGCCATGAGGCATGTGGGATCTTAGCTCCCTGACCAGGGATCGAGCCCGCACCCTCTGCATTGGAAGATGAAGTCTTAACCACTGGACCGCCAGGGAAGTCCCGTGCAAGTGATTTAAAAAAAAAAAAAACATAATAGCGAGGGACTTCCCTGGTGGTCCAGTGGTTAAGACTGCACGCTTCCACTGCAGGCGGCACGGGTTCAGTCCCTGGTCGGGGAGCTAAGATCCCACAAGCCGTATGGTGTGGCCAAAAAAAATAATAATAATCATAGTGAATTTACAGCAGATCTAAGAGTGGATGGAAATGATATCCCCACCTGGTGTTTTTCTTCTGAGCGAGCAGAAAAATAGAACCACGGAAGGCCAGTTTCCTCCATAAATGGAGGTACAGGGCATCTGCTGGTTAGACCTTAGTTCCTGGGCCAGCCCATCTCTGGGAGCCGCACCCCACGTTTCCAAAGCAAGAGGAAGTCCCTTCCAGCTCTTGGCAAAGCTGCTGTAGTCTCTGAGCCTTGGAAAGCCTGAGAAGCTTCTCAAGCTTCTGAGTCAGGAACTGAGCCCTGATCCTACCTTCAACCCATGTCATTCAGAAATGACCTGGATTTAGATAACCTGTGTGGGTGCCCTGGGGAGGCCGTAAGAAATGGCCACAGACCAGGAAATCCATCCTCCCCCATCCTGGAGACCAGACCTCTGAGGTCAAGGTGTCCCAGGGCCACGCTCCCTCCAGAGGCCCCAGGGAAGGGTCCTTCCTGCCTCTTCCAGCTTCTGGGGGCTCCAGGCGCCCCTGGGCTCGTGGCTGCATCCCTCCCGTCTCTGCCTCCATCTTCCCGGGGCTTCTCCTGTGTGTCTGTGTCTCTCCTCTTCTGTGTCTTAGAAGGACCCTGTCACTGGATGTAGGGCCACCCTCCTCCAGGGGCACCTCATCTCAGACCCTTCACTGCGTCACATCTGCAAGGACCCTATTTCCTAATAAGGTCCCATTCACAAATTCTAGGTGGACATGAATTTTGACGGGACACTGTTGAGCCCAGTACAATACCCAAGAAAGAATTAATTGCAAGAAAACAATATACCCTCCCAGAGTTTTCCATCTGTCATGCCTCACAGTTCTAGGTGGAGGGGGAGTATATTCAGAGGGTGAAGGAACCCACTCTGACCATCCACTGCCGCCTTCTCCCACGCACCCCGGGACGCATCTGTTTCCCCATGGACACAGACAGCACTTGGAAACCCACCTTCACAGAAGCCGATCCGTTCATCCTCCAGGAATGAGAAGTGCCTCTTTGCCATCTGGACCACGTCCGGGATGTCAAACACGGTGACCTGAGACCCCGGGTACAGAGACATGCACGCCTTGGCCAGAGCCCCGGAACCACCTGCAAGCGGACACAGGACGTGACAGGGTGGGGACCTGGGTGGTACCCATACTCTGGTCTCCATAGTTACAGGCTCACCTACAAGCCCTGGAATCTAGGGGGTCTTCCTGCTTGGGCCGACCTGCATGCCAACCTTCCACACAGACTCTGACCTGACTGTGTCCTCTCGTGCCGGGGCATCTGTCCACCCGAAGACAGACAACAGCCAAGCAGAGGAAGCCCTGGGCAAATGCTGGAGTGAGATGTGCCCGTGGGTCCCTGTGGGGGATATTTCCAGGGGACGCCCCAGTGAGAAACAAGGGGAGCCCTCCCAGACGCCAACGGCATGCACGTCCCAGGTCCTGGAGACCCTCCTGTCTTGTGTTTTCACGCCCAGCGGGCCCCAAGGCAGAGCAATTGCAAGTCTGCTCTTGTTTAGAGGAACCTGCTACCAGCGAACATCGCAAAGATACCCCTTGTGCACCAGAGATGATTTCCTGAAGCCTCACATCCCTATCCGAAGGGCGACCCGTGCTTTCCGTCCCTCCTCTATGGGAAGGCAGTGCTGGGTCGGGAGGTAGCTGCGGTGCCTCCTGAAACCAGACCGAGGGTTGGTGCTCACCGCTGCCGTTTTGCCCTCAACCGAGCCCCACCCCCTTATCCCGTAAGACAGGGAGGACGACCACCCACCCAGTCCTGCGTCTGTTCTGGGAGCTTCCCAGTGTCCAACGCGCAGGCGTGGCGGGCCTTCCCTCTCATCCCCGCCAGCATCACAACGGAGGAGTGACATCTGGCCCCCAGGACCCCAGTAAACTCTCCTGATCCTTGCAGGCTCGCACGGTGTTTTCCTCCACCAGGAAGGCAGCGCGAGAAGACTCTGCTCTCGGAGTTTCTGCAGACCAGCCTGCAACCTCGCCCAGAGGATTCTCACTGCTGTCTACACGGAGAACCACGTCTGTGTCCCACGCCCTCGTCCCTGGAGCCGGTGCTAGTTGGCTGCAGTGAGAGGAGCTGGGACCACGACAGCCTTCGGGAAGGGACAGAAAGATGCTCCCACTGTCCTACTGGGACATCCACCTTCTCCCTTCACTGGGTCACCGGGAACTATTGAAACCAGGGTGTCCCTGTGCACTGTTGGTGGAGATGTAAATTGACGCAGCCACTATTGAGAACAGTATGCAGGTTCCTCAGAAAACTACAAAATAGAGTTGCCATATGAACTGGCAATTCCCCTCTTGGGCACGTATCTGGAGAAAACCATAATCTGAAAAGATCCCAAGATGCACCCCCAATGTTCACTGCAGCACTGTTTCCATGCAGGACATGGCAGCAACCTAAATGTCCACTGACAGAGGAATGGATAAAGAAGATGTGGTGCATATATACAGTGGAATATTACTCAGCCATAAAAAAGAATGAAATGATGCCATCTGCAGCAACATGCTTGGACCTGGAGATGATCATACTAAGCGAAGTAAGTCAGAGAAAGACAAATACCATATGATATGACTCCTATGTGGAATCTAAAATAAGACACAAATGAACTTATGTATGAAACAGAAACAGACTCACAGACACAGAGAACAGACTAGTGGTTGCCAAGGGGGAGGTGGCTGGGAGAGGGAAGGACTGGAAGGTCAGGATTAGCAGATGCAGCCTCGTATATATAGGATGGATACACAACAAGGTCCTCCTGCAGAGCACAGGGAACTATATGCAATATCCTGGGATAAACCATCCTGGAAAAAAGTATTAAAGATTGTATAAATGTGTATAACTGAGTCGGTTTGCTGTACGGCCCACAGTCACACAACACTGTCAATCAACTGTATTTCAATAAAATTTTAAAATATAAGCATAACCCTATCAGAGCAGGTGCTTGGGACCTGCCTGGCGGTCCAGTGGTTAAGACTCCTGCACTTCTAGGGCAGGGGGCTCGGGTTCAACCCCTGGTTGGGGAGCTAAGAGCCCGCAGCGAGGCCAAAAAAAAAAAAAAAAAAAAAAAAAAA